TTTCGAAATTCTTAAAACACTTTCACAAGCTCTATACACTCGTTCAAAACCTGCAGAATCTCTAACACTCAAGAGAGCACGGAAGATGAAGCAATCTATTCAGAAGAAACAGCAGAACTATAGCGGATGAGGAGGAGATGGATGACAAATTCAATGCCAACACTGAAAACAAACAGCAAGGTGTATTTACTATGCACCAAAAACAGCAAACTGTTCCTTTGGAAGCCACCACATAAATAAAGTCAATGACCAACTTCAACTTGTTTTGTTATTTATCTCTGCTTGCAATATCACGGCTTATGGACGAATATATCTATGTTTCCTTTGAATTTGCTCTTTTGAAAAAATTATGTTTGGAAAAACACTCAGCTATAAGCCAAGAACCCTTCTTTAGCTCAAATTTTCAAGATTTTGGTAAAGTTTCATGAAAAAGTTCACTTGGTCAATATATGAATAAATACCGTAACTGCTTCTTTCTTTTTTCTGTTGATTACTTAATTTACCAGGTTCCATGTCTGTTTAATATCACCTCTAAGTGGTTCCAAACTTTTATTCCTAATATTTCTTTTTCAGAATATAATTTTTTTTTTGTTAACTTGTTCAGACAGTAAAGGTACGTATCTGTATCTCACTTTTAACTCTTCAGTTCCATCGTTTAAAATCTTTTTGTAGAGGTTGTTTGTAATTTTAGTTGATTCTACGAATCCTTTCATAATCCAAGATTTCTTATCAATTTTGTTTCTTTGTTAGACAAATTCTTTTCAGGTATACTATTATTGTTTAGGCACATAATTATTAAATGTTTCCTAAAAAGGAACATGCATCATCAATGTCACTGATGCTCTTAAAATGTTCCCAATCAATGTTTTGAATTTCACTGCATACTTTGTTAATTAATATTGCCTTAGTTTGTTATTGCTCTCCTCTTGAAAGTAATCCATTTTGGTCCTGGCAAGCTAATAGTTGGTAATTAATATTTGAAAGACTGGTAGATGATCTGAAAGATCATTAATCAAAATTCTCCTTATAGGCAATCTAAGTGGATGTTATTAATGAATATACTATAAATCAATGTTGCTGAATTTGCTATATAATTCTTGTTGATCTGTTTTTAACTGGATAAAAATGAAAGCTATACATTTAGTGAAGAAATCTGTTTTCATAGTCACTGGTCTCAGACTTTATAATTATGATCCNACCTTTTAAGTTGTCAATCACTGACACTGAAGAAGACAACGGGCAACCTGCCTGTAAATCAAATTGATCATGCTTTAATTCGGTTCCTTTACAAACCTTGGAGGTTTCGGTTACGTTTATTATTTCTTTAAGATAAAGTCAAGTCCAATCCATGGAATTAGAGGGAAATTTTTTCATCAGTATAAACGCTTTCATTGCTTGTTGTGAAAAACTAATCGATGATCAGCAACTACCAGACAGAATAATTATAAGATCAGAGCTGACTAACGTCAACACGATCAGAAACAGTTTCTCCCGTACTTTCCATTCCAATTGTCCCTTCAAAACGCCTATCTTAACTTACAATAACTTTATTTCATTTCCTGTTGCTAGGAGTTTCTACTTCAACGCGTCTGCTACAGAACGCCGACCGATTAGTCTGTAAGATCGTATGTCGAGAGTGTTCTGCATTTGACGGGCGTTGCGAAAGTATAGAAAACAGATCAGAACCTTGCAAAACTAGAATACAAAGGGAAAGAGAGACTATTGGAGATAACAGAGAACTAGATTGAACTGGCGGAAAATGACTCGCGAAAACACTACTGTAGTGAGGCTAAACTTTACAAATAAGCTAGATTCTGATATGTGTTGAACATAATACTTACTTCTCAGCAAAGTGAAGAACAACTGCAACGAATTGTAGCGAAGTCAAAGACTTATTGTAGACAATCTTGCTGTTCAGCTCGTTGTTAAGTCCCTGCCTTGCGCACTAGGTTCAATTTGCATCACTGTGCTCCTCACATTTCTCGCGACCAAGCAATTGACGCAAGGGAGGGGTACAGGGGGAGGGGTTGTCTCTTCGCTGCGTCGGCGGGCAATTAGTATTTAGTAAGTTCTTCAGGAGGTATCAAAGTAATATTTGATGAATGTAAGTTAATCGGTCTTAGAAAGTGATAAAAACTTATCCGAGCGTTTGAAATACATCACAACAAAGCGATGTGGGGTGTGTTCTGCCAGAGTTAATAGAGGGAACTATGGTTCTGCGAAAAAATAGCAGAAAATGTTATTGAAATTTCGGGAGGCGAAAGGGCAACATTTCAACAGATCTTAGCAATCTTAAATACTTCTAAATGGCTGAGATATAAAAATTGATGAGGGTCTTAATGCATACTACGCCACCGATGCCAGATACAGTAGCGTCATTAAGAATCTTTGGTAGTTTGAGTCAGTTACTGATGCAAGATTTCTTAATGCCCTAAGAACGCCTAGGCTGTTTGCCTCGATCTTTAGTTATTGCTGTCATGCTAGGGAAATAACTGATTGCTGTGGGTTGGAGGGCGAAAAGCTGTTATTAATCGTCTAGGACAGGAAAGAAAGATCCAGGAAAATTTCTTTCATTTTCAGTGTTTTCGAGAGGCAAAATGATTACAAAAGTCTTTGCGACTCATTACTACAAAAAACAAGTCCTCTAATTTTTCCTTTTTCATTTTGTTTATCAGAATCAAGTTTGTTTCCCTCAGGTAAGGTGAGAAAAACAGATAAAATAAGAAACTATCGAGATGTCATAAAAGAGTCAGGCTAATGAACAAAGGATTATGGGATGGAGATTCATAATGCGTGAGAGCTGATTATGGTGACGCCCGAATTAATCATCACCAGTGGAAATCACGAGCAAATTATCTAATGGTTTGAAGAAATCTACTTGTCACCCAAAACTTATCAAGATACAATGAAACATTTCTATTGATCAATGATACAAATGGGTCACGTTACGTGCTGCTCACTTTACTCATTATCTATCACGTAATAGATAGCGTGTAGGGCAGCCAATCAGATTGCTGCATTCGTGATAAAACGTCATTAGTTTAATAGTAAATACATACGGTTGGAATTATTTTTTTAACTTAATCTTGAGTGTTTGAGAGTGACGAGTCGATAACTTTTAAAAGATTAAAAGCCCCTCTAGTAGTTAGTGTATTACACTAAGAATGAAAAGGTACAATTTAGCCGTTACACGGATCAAGTTTTTTCTGTTCTTGGAAAGTAAAATTTATTCTTTAAATACATCTCAGAACTTAAAACAATACAATGCGGGAAGTCGTTCGACCGACTGATTGTACGACTGTTTGACTGAATGACTGGATGTCTGGGTGAATGACCAGCCCCTTGTTGGCTGACTGAATTATACAGACCAAAGCTTACAGTTTCCAAGCGAACGCAGGAATAATAACATGTAAACAAACAAAAACACTACAAACCCTGACGTATGCAACAACCAAATAAAACTCGTTTCCATGAATTAAAAAAAAAAGAAAAAGGCAGAGACATTGGAAACTGGATTGGCGTTTATATCCTTAGGACACAACATGGTACTCTTTTAAGAATAAATCATAAACTGTACAATGCGAATATTTCAAGGTAAGAACTATATCAAAAAGGCATAGGACATGCAATTTCCCAATTTTTGATTGCCAGATAGTCTGAAGCCCCCTGTCTGATGCAATCTCCCTCAGCCCCAATAACAGATCAGTTCTGCTCTTGACTTTACTTGCATCGAGTCGCATCTACTGAAGTTCCAGGATCATTCGGTCGAGAGACCCTTGGGTCGAGAGAACCTAGAAGGGACGAAGTCTTTATTTAATTTATCTAACTTTATAAAAAGAAGAGAAACAATCGTCAGCTGGAAAGGAACAATTCCAAATCTTGAAAGAGAATCTTTAATGGCAAAAATGAAAATAAGGGCTTCAAGCACCAAACAAACGGTTTTGTCGAACAACTGAGCTTTGAAACGATAAACTGGAAGTGAACTGACTTTTTATGGGCCAATGAAGACACTAATAATCATAATTAGAGAAGCAGAGCGGAAAGATACGATAAGGTCTACATTCTGACATATCTGTGTAACTGGAAAAAGAACCCTAGGCAACAAAACCGCGTTCTACTGAAACAATGTCAAAACGGAAGAAAGCTGAGGTATAGATAATAACTTATCTCCTCCGTGCAAAACTTCAGAAATACCATTTCAAAATGCGTAGCTGGCTTGACGTTGAAGGCTAAGGAAAGGAGAAATGTTGGATCTACTTGTAGCCTGTCTGTTCTTCTTTGGGGATGTCAAATGCCATGTGTTATTAATATTTTATTACTCAGCTGAAATCAAATGTTAGTTTTGTTGACGCGTCGAAATCTTCGGCCCCATGAGTTCTGAAATCGTGTCTCGTCCCGTTAGAAGCTAAAAAGATAGAGAGAAACCCTTTTTCGATATTACGCAACAAGAGTCTAAAAAAATTGATTACTATGAACTATTTAGAGCATTACTGACATCATGTCGCCTGGTAGTACAATTATCAGTCGCCTGGTACTTCGCTTGTCTCTGATCCACTGACTAGGATTCTGAAACAAGTTTCTTTTATTTTGGGAAATTTGTCGGTTCAACCACAAAAAAAGTCACGAAAATGATAATTATTTAACCAAGATTAACACAAGAAATCAAATTTATCGACTGAAGAAAGATTGCCCTGCAGGGGTCAGAAGAATCCAACCGCACTGAAAGGCATAAGGCTCAACGAATGATCGCGTGACAGTTGCGAATTTGATCTCCGTCGTCAAGGTCATGTGACGGTTGTTAGGCAAATGTCACGATACATATCCAAGGTCTAGAAATCGAAGGAAGCGCTTTATGGAGGGTCATTCGTCTTCCGACTCTCGTCTTGTCGAATTTCTCGTTTGCAAAATTGCCCTGTAGTTTTCTACAAGTCTTTTAAGTTTTATAACTCAGCAGAAAGAAACTCACGGCTGAGAGAAACTCTCCAGTTGTGGATAAACTTTCCCTGAAGATTTGAGTATCAGACTGGTTCAATCCATACTTCTATGTCACAGGTAAGATTAAATGCAGCGGTTCAGAAGTTGTTTTCATGAAAGTGGTTGTTGCAGTACCCTCATTTGCAAAGATGCCCACCACAACCTGCCTCAGTTTAAATACCAGCGTGTATAAAGTTATACATAATTGTAATTGACGCTAACAGCGAAGCAAGATCAAATTTAATCGGGTTTGAAGATAGTGTAAAGATTCAGTATGTTGGATAAACATTCCAGTGCGAGTTTGTTTGCTGCTTTTTCCTCAGAGATTTCCATTAGAACTTCAGAGGGCTGAAACTATTGTCCAAACCTTGAACAAGAAACGTACTCGTGAGAAAATTCCGCTGGGGAGCTTGATATGCTTGAGAAGCATTTTCATAACAAACTAAGCGTGAATTTTAATCAATGGAGCAATTTAATCGTGTGCTATGTTCATCAAGCCGGCTGTAATATTTCCGTGGCTTGCTTGTATTCATAAATCTACCGCTTTTATTTCTCTCCTCTCGGTTGTTTAGCTTGTCTACTAAAGGAAGTGTAAGTTGTTTACATTGTGTAGAGGATGGTAATTTCATTTGACTGTTTACACTCTTATATTACGAGTCGCATTCAAGAGTTCAAATGATAACGTCGATGACTATCGTAGTTGTGATAGTGATCAATACCTGTAGTCGAAGGATGCTGTGCGAAACTTAAATATGTCAACGCATGTGCAACGGTGTGTAGTACGTGGTTTAGTTCGACGGATAGATTTGGATGATGAATTAACGCTACCATGATCTGGATAGAATGCATAGTATTTTCCTTTGTGTTCTTTTTCAGCTATGGGGATCCCTCTATGCAAAGGAGATCAAAATCGTCAACAAAACATTTCTTCAGGTTTGAAATTAAACATAAAAAGTAGCACACAAATGAACAGTCAAATCAGTTCTCTCTGCTGCTGGGAGAAGAGAAAATTTATGATCATGCTCTTAAGCTCCAGCACAACTGATTATCATTAGTAAGTGGACAAGTGTCACAACACGAAATATTGCAAACATTGTTTGGTTTGCGTTTGGAACCTAGCTGACCAACACCATGCGCTAGTGGGCTTCCTTTTACTTCAAAGAAAATCGTTCGATTTTTGAAATAGCACCAAAGAACTTGTGCTAAGCAGCCGTTTACTGGAGGAAATGTACGCATCATTGACCAGTAACAGGCTTAGATTTTGGAGTCAATTCCACGTTAAGAAGTTGGGTTAAGGTTCGTGCAAACTCTGGAAACTGAATAGTTCCTAGTCAGTTGCGCGCAAAACGCGCCTGCAAAGAATTGGCCGCCTACTATTTCGTATTACCTTTATCTTTTCAAACCGCTTATTAAGACCCTCGGGTCCCAGACCTATGTTGGGATATACTTGTGTAGGTTATGGTGCTCTGCATAGAGATGATTTCTCAGCATTTTCTTTAGTTTTGAAGACTTGAGCATGGGCAAGAAACATTATTCACAATGACATTATGCTGTCCCCCAAGGCAAATACACAATTTTGAAATCTCCAATCAGATATGCAGTGCATCTAAACAAAAATATTTGATATCTAGTCATTCACTTGGCTAAATATATGAATAAATAAATATATATGAGTTTATAAATAAATAAATAAATGTGGGGGCAGAGTCTACCTTGGCATATATAAGTTTATTTATGTAGCTTAAACATACATTTATTTAGTTGTCAATTTTTATTAGACCCAATGGAAATTCAGGAGAGATCTGCTCATGCAGTTTCGAATTTCAGCACATCAGCAGGTAAATATGTTGAGCGGGGAGGTAACACTCACACGTCATATAATTATTATATGACAAGGTAAATCGGAGCGTTCTGATTAGCCCCTACTTGGTCAGTT